CAAACAGACTCAGTTCAGACGAAATCAATTGGTATTTTAACAAAACATTTTCAGCCGCACTTAATGCTGCCAACTGCTGAAACTAATAGCAACAATTCTCACCTGGCCCAACACAACTGTAGGTTAGACTACTGCCAGTGATAAACGAAAAAATATTTAATACTTGTATTACTCTTTTTCAAGGCAAAAATGTACGTTCAGAAGTCACGCTGACACTCAAGCACCTATCAGTCTGGCCAAAAATGCCCACATAAGACACGCACAACTCACTGTACTTCCTCTGTGCCAGTCTAGAAGACTTCTAGGAATCAAAGTGCTCCGTCCTTGCCCGCTACTCTCAGGGAACCAGCAGGGGACTGGAATCCACCCCACGTGTGCCTGCTGTCAGAGTTTCCAGCTCTGAGCTTAGCCAGAGGTTATCCATGGGCCTGAACTTTAACACCAGTAATGTCAAAGGGACGCAGCTTATGTATCTACAGCTCCAAACCTTGACAACGTCTGTGGTTCAGGCACCACGTATTCATAAATAGTAAACATCTGACTTGTAACTCATAACCTTGGGAAAATGTTTGGTTGTAGAGGCGTTCAGAAGAGTTGTGGAACATGTCACACAGTCCCAACTCACACAATCTGCAGTAGGTCACCAGCCAGCTCCATGGCAGACTCACACAAAGGCAGGGAAGCGACTCAATCTCCCTGCCTGCCCACCAGCGGGTTAAAGGAGTCCCAGCATGAGCTGCAGACAGCTGGATGCTGCCCAGTCAAGGACTGCACCGCTCCAATGACCAGACCAGCGCCTCCGCACCTCCAGCCAGCTGGAACAGCACTGTATGCAGCTCTGCACAGAGCATGGGATGTGGAGAGTCTGTTATGCATGCCTACACTGAAGAGAAACAGAGATGCATCTCCAAAAATCACTAAAAGGAGAAAAATATGTTCCTTCTTCAGATGATTCTAAGTTTTTTTAATGCCAGACACTATGAACAAACATGATTGCTTCTTTGCAACATGGAGTCTCAAGAATTACAATAAACATAACACAGCCTTCACTAATACAACTCCCAGAAACAGAAACTACACCCTAATGGGATTTTGCAAAAGCCAGCAAGCCATGCACGAGACTTGTTTCGAGATGCTGAGCACACGCGGTGACTGCCAACTCGAAGCGCAACTCTGGGGACTCAGCACCTCTGAAAACACAAGCGTATCAGTACCCTGCTTCACAGATGTGGAAGGGCCCCGCGCAGGCGCTGAACCAGGCAGGCACACAGCACTGCTTCTGAAACAGAGTACTGCCAATTCACCGAGCACTTTCATCATTATTTCTGAGATAAGAACACATACCTCACAAGTCTCTTTAGCAAGCAGCCCCCCAGGGCTCAGCTGCACCATGGCTAGCCAAGCCAGCCAGACCTGCGAAGCCAGCAGTCGGACATGTTTTCCCATTCAGCCACGCAAGCTCCCAGTTGGGATGACCACTTGTTTGTTACCAAGGAAGTTTATAAGGCTCCTTTGTAGAATAAAAAGGAGAGCGCAAAGGACTGAAGAGAACCAACGTGGTACTGGAATTCAACATCAAGGTTTCAGAGGATATGTTAAAATACAGTTCTACAGGTCTTTCAGAAACAGAGGAAAACTCAACTCCCAGTTCAAACATGGCCATTAAGACTCCATGGCGTTTTGTATAAGCCATTTCAGCCTTGTTTTCATGAGAAGAATGGAAAGGGCCTCCCTGTTACAGCCAAGGTAGCACAAGGCAGAACCCAAACAAGAACACAGCTCGTAGTTCCCACACAAACGGCAGTGATTTCCAGACCAGGCTTCCACACTTCTATACTCAACCCACCAAGTCTCCTGAAATGACAGCCATGCTGCTGCGATCTCACTGCTTCTTACCTCAAGTCAGCTAATTCAATTTTGCTAAATTAAAAGAAAAAAAAAAAATGGAGTCAATATATTCCCCTACAATTTCATCTGCAAAAGATAATTCTTATTCCTTATTTCATTGTCATACTTTATCTCAGAGGAAACCAATTATGAGATGAATAAGGCAGTCTCTATCCACTCCGTTTGGTATCACTAGATGAACTTTTTCCTAGTAAAGTCACTCTTCTCATTAAGCTACTTCACAGAAATTAAGACCATCTAATTTGAGACCACAGTGCTTGGAAAGCTGCACATACTGAGGACAGCAATACCTGAAGCAATGGCAGGAATGTAGGAACTGTTTCTTCAACGCTTGTTAATTTGAAGGTACAAAATTAATGCTGCAATGCAACACAAATGCACTGAGAAGAGCCATCAATCATCTTTCCTAACAGTAAGCTTCAGACATTTCTTCACCTAACACAAATATTTATACTTATACTAAGAAAACGAGCACACAGAAAGTCTATTCTCCTATTTGTCACTTCTTGCAGCAGCCCTACATGGGCGCGCTGTGTACGCATGCTTTCACTTCTCTCCCGGCCCACAGTACTTGCATGAGCAGATGGTTACAGCTTTAAACGCACACGTTACTGAGGACTGTGCAGCGCACACATGTAAACACACAGTAAGGGTGGCCACACACAGGACATTAATCACAACTCTCAGTGTAAACAAAATGAATGTTCTTAGAACTTAGCAGTATTTCCACACAACACACCTCAGCATTTCCGCAACCTCCCCGTCTTGTCAGCAGCAGAAGTCCCCTCCAGTGAAGTCACCGAGCTCACGGCACCATGACCCCAAGTGGCCAAGGGCCATGGAGCTGACGGGACAGCTGGCCACGCAGGCACGAACTGGGGCTCCGCATGTACTGAGGAAAGGTGCCTCATTGGCCACGCTTTGGCCTCCCCAGAACACTGAACAGCACTTTGATACCAAAAAAAAAAGATCAGCATCAAGAAAGAGGCACATCCCACTGCCTGCCACTAATGCAAAACACACTCATCTGTGTGCGACTCAACAGACATCTGTGGAGCTCATTCAGCCGAGCTATGCTGCTGATGTGCATGAAGTTGTGTGTGTTTCTTTACAGGACTTCCTGACTTCTGCACAATTATATCCTTGTAGGATGTGGGTCTTTATTGCCACTACAAAATTTCTAACAGCAAACACATTCTGACTCGAACGTGAAGTCCATGTTAAATTAAATTGTGCATTCAAAATCAAGTTAGGTAAAATAACTCAGTTTGCATTACGTTATTTGGATCTGTTCTTCCTAACTAAAAAATATTACCTGAAAACAACATTATAAGCAATTTTGACTATTTCCCCTAATCCATCCATGCCTCTTTACGCATAGGGTTGTAGCACTTCTTAGCATCAAACTCTTTCATGATAGAAACAGAACTCCAAAGTGCTGTTCCTAGGTACTTAGCACTTACGTGATGCCTTACAACTTCAAAGCACTGCACAAACATCAATAATTACCATAGAGAGCAAAAACTGAAAGCACCTATATTAAAAAAAATGGAAAAAAATCATGACTACCTGTTTGAAGGGGAAAAAAAGCTTAAGAAAGAGAACCTAACTGTAATCATGACATTCTTCATGCTACCAACACACGCTACGGCTGTGCATATTGATATGAAGAAAAAATTATCAACTCCTGCACAGCATCAGAAGAAAGTCAAACCCAACTCCTTCCATACTCTTGCATCGCACTTCCATTCCACAGAGCGAGGAGCAAACGTTTCCAGGCACTCTCTAGCACCACGTTCCCAAGGCATGGCACCACACCAGCCTTTATTTTTACAGAGCCAATTCTATGCTCCCCAAGAAACCCAACAGCGGTGACAGTATAAGGTCCCAGGTGATGTTAAGACACTGCTGTTCCATTGGGCCTTACCCAAAGGGAAAGCAAAATAAATGGCTACAAGAAGCCACAGAAAGTTTGCTACTTTGATGCACAGTGCACCACCCGCATCCTATGGACAACCCATCAACAGCACAGCTCCTTTTCTCTCCCGCCAGCAGGAACAACCCAGGAACAACCTCTCCTCCACAGACGCTCACCAAAGTTCAAAGACATACAAAAGGATTTGCAGGACCAAGCCTTAACAAAACATGTTCTGAAAGAAGCGCTCACACAAACGCACCCAAAGGAAGGCCCCAACCCAACTTCATGGCGCTGGGCCTTGACGCAGGCTGGCTTGGCACAAGCCAAGGCCCCACACCAAGCCCCCAAGCAGGGGTAGCGCCCAGCAGCACAGCAGAGCCCTCGGGATACAACCAAACGCCCCATCCACGCTCAGCACCACGGGACGCTCAGCCCAGAAGGCCCCCAAATCCGCTCCTCCAGACCGCAGCTGGCTGAGCACACAGGAGCACGTCGCGTGGTCTCCCCACACATCAGCCCCTGATTCACACCGAACGGAGCTCGAGGCGGCCGGGCACACCGGAGAGCGCACACAACTTCCCTCCTAAACTTCCCCGCGACCAACGCGCCCAACTTCCCGCACCGCTCACGTGCGGCACCCACAGCCACAAACTTTCCTCCCGGGGCCCCGCAGCCCCGGGGCGGACCACCGCCCCTCCCCCCAACCTCTGGCTGGGCCTCGCGGACCCCCGCGCCACCCTCCCGGCCCCGTACCTCCGCAGCTCCGTTCGATGCCTTTTTCCCCCTTTTTTAATCTATTTTTTCTCCTCTCTCTCTCTCTCTCTCTCTCTCTTCTCCCTTTCCCCTCCCCCTCCGCCAGAAGTAAATATGTACGGAGAGGAGCGGGGGGAGGGGAGCGCTCCTCTTTACACAAATCGAGCTAAAAATAGGCGATCCGACACCCGCCTCGCCACGACTCCTTTATTTAATTCACCCCCGACGCCTCAACGTTGCGTTTCCCCCCTAAAAACCTCCCCAAAACGCGGCCCGGTGGGGGGAGGGGCGGCCAGCGGCGGCGCGGGTTGGGGGAAGGGACGCGGGGACCACCCCGCACCCCGCAGCAACGCGCACCCCCACGCCGCTTCCGAAGCCCCCCGGATCGGCCCCGAAGCGGCGCCCATCCCCCGGCACTTACCTGGGCGGCGGCGGCGGCGCTCCCCTTCCCTGGGAGCGGAGGCGCGAGAGGAATCCGCCCGCGTCCGCCTCTCCTCCGCGGTTGTTTTTATACGGCCATAGAGACAGACGGGCACATGTCTGTGTGTGTACACACCGAGAGGGATAATCGCTTTTTTATTATTATTATTATTGTTATTATTTTAAGTCCACGGCGAGAGGTAAAAAAATAAAAAATAAAAATAAAAAGGGAAAAAAAAAAAACACCACACACACACGGGAGGAAGAGGAGGAGGAGGAAGAAAAAAAAAAAAAAAAAAAAAAAACCACCACCACGCAGCCACCAAACAGCGCTGTGATATTCAATTATATCCCGAGCCAGCGAGCGGGGGAGGGGAGGGTGGGGAAAGAGGGGGGATTAGAGATTAAGTCCCGAGGAAGGAGGAAAAAAAGTAATATCTGTGTGTGTGCGCGCGTGTGATTTAGATTGAGGAGGAATTGAGGCAGAATGTGAAAGCTGTTACTAAGGGAAGGAGCCAAACGGCTCGGAGCAGCCAACGGCTCTCAGACACTCCGCGCCGGGAGAGGGTGCCCAGCCGCACGGAAATGGGCGCGGGGGGAGCGGGGCCGCCGGGAGGGACGGGAGAGCGGGAGGGAGCGGCGGAGCGGGGCCGGCCTGCTGCGGCCGCCCGGCACAACAAACCTGCGGCGGGGCGGGGGGCGGCGGCTGGGCCCCCACCTCCTCCTCCTCCTCCTTCTTCCTCCCTTCCCCTCCGCCCGCTCGCTCCTCGCGCGCCCGCGCGCTCCAGGCAGGCGCAGCGCCGCGCGCGAGGGGAGGAGGGCTGAGGGCCATGGCGGGAAGGGGAGCGGGGCGGGGAGGCCGACCGCGGGGTCAGGAGCCCGGGCAGCGCGGCCGGTTGGGCCTCGGCGTTTGTCTAGGAAAGATGTGAATGGCGCCGTGTAACTGCGGCGCTCACGGCGTGCTTGGCTCCCGTGGCACCAGGAACCGGGCCTGAGGATTGGCACCTCTCAACGCCCGTGCCCATTTTCATTTTGTTGAATAAAAATAATCCTCCGCAGTGATAACGTCTCCTACCTGCGTGCTGTTCATTTTTAGAATATGAAGCTGTTCATCATTTCTGTTGCAGGTTTGTTTATTTTTTTGTTGATCAGAACCACATTCATCACTGGGCGGTCCTTTCCATCACACAATGCTTTTGCAACAGCATTTCATGCTCTCGGGCATTGGTCCAGTGCTCATTGGCACTGCAATGACCACCAACCACCACGGGCCCCACTGCAGCACCAGGTCCAGTGTGAGGCTCCCACCAACACAGGGCTGAAATCGATCTCCACATCACCACCGTTCTGCAGAATGGCCAAAACAGGACCTTGTTGACACCGTCTTTCTGCAGAATTCACTTTCACCAGGCCTGACACAACAGCATTGTGGACGCACGGGCCACAAACGTAGCTTCTTTTTGTTTAATATCTCGAAATTGCTGGAGAATCACACTCATCCCAACTCTAGAGCTAAGGTTGTGTTTCAGCTGAACGCAGGCAGATTTCATTACCTGAGCTACAACTTCCAAGCCAATGGGACTCTTCTGCTCCATGACATCGTGATGAAAGCAGACGGGGTGGGTCTCTGAGTGCAGCATCATCTCACAGTGCTCATTTTTTAGGGTCATGCCCATGGGCTTCCCTTTGTTTTAGAAGAATAGTATTTAAATTTTGCAGAAAGCACGTTGGGGTTTTTTCTTGCATCGCAAAATTATTTCATTCTGAGAAAACCGTGGGCCTTCAATCCATTTGCTTTAAGAAGACTAAATTGTATGAGGAAACTGAAGTCTCTAGAAAGCTAGGCAGCATGTTTGTAATTGCAAAGTGCTCAACCTTTATTTCTGTAATAATTTTGATGGCAAAGTGGACAACTTTCTCTTCTCAGTGCTGGTGCGTAGGCTTTAAGGATGCAGTAAATTTATGAAGTCCAACACCAGAATTTCAGAGAAGGTTGTTGTCATCTGAAGGAAGACATGAGCTGTTTGCTGAAGGTTGGGAAACGTAAGAAGGGGGGGAAGAAGTGGTGAGAGATTCACTCGCACCTTCCTGTGTTATCATCTCAGATGTGTCCGTGTGTCTAAAGGAGTTTAACCTCTCTGTACTCGGAAGGACTTATTTCCTAGTTAGGAGCAGATAAGGAATAACAGTGGGTGGAGGAAGGGGGAATGGGAGCATGCACGTAGCCTGAGGCAGAAGGAAAGATAAGGGACCTCAAGTAGAGGACTGCCCTGATGGAGGATGTGGGAGGGGCTGCAAAACATCCTCAAGAAAGCAATAGGAGATATAAGCCCAGAAACGAGGGAGGGAAAACCCCTCAAGTGTGCCTTGTTTGGCCCACAGAAACTGCAAACACTGCCTTCCCATCCATCTGCCGAGCAGCGACAACATGCTGAGCTGAAGTCATCTGGCTGAAGGTTTCTGTGGTCTCCTGTTCACCAAATGTTCAGTCACAACTCCAGCGTGCCAGGCTTTCACTTTCGATTATCGCGCACTGAACTGGTGATCACCTGCATGCATGTTCTGCCCTGCAGAATCTGCGAAGTGCATGCTGGCAGATGTATACTGCAATAACCTTACCCCTTCCATTTTGTTCCATTTTCTCTTACTTTACTATGGCCCCAGCTCAGTGAACACCTCACGAGCCTGCACAGGGCATTGCTTCGTGCTGCTGCTTTCCATGGTCTCATCACCTCAACTTCTGGGAAGTCTTCTCACAGCCATATTTATAAGGCATATCCTTAAAATAGCTGAAATTACTTGTAACAGTGAGTGCTCCGCCTACTAAGCACATAGAAGCAAATATTTGCAATAACTGGACCAGTGTTTGCACAGCACCAAGCACACCGCCTGGACTCCATAAATAATAATACTTGGCACTCACAGAGGGGTTTCCATTTTCAAAGCACTTTAGTCATAACCCTTGACACCTATATGGCCTTTTACATCCTTACAAGGATTAATTAATCCTCACAGTGTCCTGTGAGATAGGTATGTGTTGCAGTAATAACAATAACAACAATTAATAATTCATGCATTCTACTCGAAAATCACTTCAGGGATTAAAATGTGTCTGTAATACTAGGGGTTTTTTTATTAACATTTTCCAGCAAATAATAAAACCCATGCTATTGTGTTAAATCTGTATATTATCTGACCATAAATCTTCTACAGACTGGGACGGAGCTAAAGGCCGAGTGAGGTGCCAGAACATCAGCAGGAATTAGATTACCGAGTTCAGAAAAGCAAGCTCGAGCCCAGTCCACCATGCAGCTTAGGTGCCAGAATGAAACTTGCCATGTATGGCAGTGCATAAATAAATACGAGCAACCCAGGAATGTTCTTCGTTCATTTTTAGCTCTTGTTTATGCAAAGACTCTCCTGGTTACAGCATGCATTGTATTACCCTGTGCTGCACGAACACAGCCCCAGTGATACGCTCTTACTGGGTGAGAAACGACAGTGACTCAGCAGCACATTGTGCAACAGGGAGACCAGGGACAAGTCTGGCCAATACTGGGGCAAACCTTCCCTCCTAAAAATTACCATACTGCCTTTGATATGCAGGCGAGTGCCGGTTCAACCTGATATTTAAACAAGTGGGGCTGAAATCTTGCTGGCTTTAATAGAAGGAATGAGCTGCTCCCACTGCATCTGGCTGTGGGTTTGCTGGCATAAGAGGACGGTGGCTATCGAGGGAAATGGAAGCTCACCACTTTGAGATCCTTGAAGCAGCCATTAGCCACACGGTCACAGCAAAGCTGCATTCATGGCAGAGTTCTAACTCCCATCTCGCATCCTGCAATGGCCAAGCAAATCCAAACTTGTTTTATTTTAACATTATGAAAAAGGGTGCGGTACTGGCAGCTATCACACACCTCTGAAGTTTCAAGCGAGACATACCTGGCTGCAGCTTGAGATCAAAACGGATTATCTCATGGCACCAGGATGTGGTTGCAAAAATTCGGTGTTTTAAGTGTCATGGTGATTCATAAAACAGTCTACATGACGTGGTACAACTGCTAAATAAAAGTACAAGCACAAAAGGCGCAAAATCTACTAGATATTTACCTTCATCACTATCACATCGTGTTTTAATATTTCCTGGCAGCACAGGAATGCAGCCAATTTGAAGAGGATTCCTTTTTCTCACCAACACTTAAGCTCCTGCTTTTCTCTCATTATAGCTACGTTGTTCTCCTCCTCCACACGAGCAGAGGACTGGGAGCCAGAACTGTTTGCTCTCTAATCAGAGTCCTGAAAGGCTCCTCATGTGGCCTTCAGCAAGTTGTTTATTATCAGTGCATCAGCTTCCATCTATAAAAAGAGAGGACTAACACAGCTACTAATGATGATGATATTGTTAACACATAATTATCTATCTCACAAGAAAATTTTGAGGGTAAATTAGTGTTTATTGTAAAGTATTTTAAAGATGGTGGTGTTATTTATAGGAGGGCTATACTTTATGTACAGAGGACAGCAATTGTGGAAAACCATCTTCTAATTAGGTTTTGCTGATGATATCGCCAAAAATATCAATCAGTACTTTCAGAAGTCCTTGACTTTTCAATTTCTTATGTTATAGACATCAGATGTTTTCTTGTAGATAGCTATATCCACATATAGAAGACCTTAAGCATCATTTTCTGATATATTAAACACAAAGTGAACTATACGGCCAAAGCACGCCCTGCAGTATGTTATTAGGCAACTTACTCCAACGATTAAAGCCACTGTGAAGTCAATAGGAGGTAGGTTGTTCTTTTTCCCCTTCCAGCCCTCCCACCCCACGAGCTGGAATTTCATCCTAGACATTCACTGCTCTTCACCCACGTGCTCAACACCCAAAGCACACCCTAGCGTGGATCAGGCTTTGTTTTATACAGCCCCTTAGCTCTGAAATGGTGCGTGCAGGTACTTATCTCAGAGTGATGCATGGCGTCAACACGGGTCCAGCGATAAGGATTACGTTGCCTGAGCCTCCTGAATTTCCCCTTTTTTGTCAATTATCTACATTTTGTGGAACATTCCTTTCTCTCAGCTTCATTCTTCAGGACTTGTGATAACGTATCATACTCCTCTGAACCAGTTGTAATCTTCACAACCTCTGATGCGCACTGACAACATTAACTGTGAGCCGCTGCAGTAGATTAAGCAGCATATTTCCACAAAA